CCCATGCAAACTGGAGTCATCATTAAAGTGGACATGTTACTCCCGATTGCAGGGTACGTGTGGTCCAGTCACGAAGCCAAAGAGTCGGCCCCCATCCCTCCCACGTCCAGCTGCTGAGAGTCCATTTTCCAAGGCAAAGAAAGACGTCCGTCCAAAGTCAAAACAAATCAATGGGTTTCTCCATCCTTCGGGAAGCTCAACAAAGCAGGCGGCAAGAGGAAAAACCCGATCCGTAGATCTGCCTTGGAAGTCGGAGCTCGAGTCCAGGGCCACCCCAACCTCAGCAGGCGAGGTGGCCTACGACATCCTGCGGCGATGTCCCCAGTGCGGCATCCTCCTCCCCTTGCCGACCCTGATTCATCACCAGGTACCACGCCTCTGTCCCCTCCTCACCCGCCATGAAGCAGCTAAGACCCGCTGGGTGTTCACGGCATGGCAGCCGCAGAGGGCTCTCCCCCGGCCGCTCCATATCTCTGTGCGCTCTCCCGGCGCTGGCCACCTGCTGCATTTGCACCACCTGCCAGAGACGGGGCTGCCTCTGAGGGTGGAGCCACATCTCTTGTGTCTGTGCTTCCAGCTTCCTAGCCTGGGTGCTGGCACGCGGCAAGCACTCCCAAACTGTTGAATACATGAACGAAGCAGACAGTATTCAGTCTCCCTGGCTCACACGGTACAGATAACTCAGGCTTGACTCGGAGACCACGCGCCTGTATTGTTCAGGATCCTGATGGCGCTGGACGCTTGTTGCTAGCAGCTCAGGGTCGTCTTGCAGTCGCCTTCCTACCACTCTAAATGCCGTTCTCACAGTGGTAAGAAGTGTCATCCCAGGCATGGGCCATCGTGCGTGTGCTGGTTGTCGGGTATAACTCTTTGAGTGGTTAGTCTTCAGCACAAGCCATAGCCAGGTCGTTCATCTCCATCTCTCAGTGAGAAACCTGGACAGCAAGGTTGAGTGGCTTCCTCGGGATCACACCATCAGAGAGGGGTACAAAGGGGTCGGGTTTCTCCTGGAATCCCCGTGCGCGTGGCTCCGTGGCTTAAACTCTCGACTGGAGACTTTATTTTTTTTAATGTTTCTTTTTTTAATTTATTTGCTATTTTTCAAAACACAAAAGTCCTGGATTGTTGGGACGACTTGACAGGAGACGACACAAGGAAGGACAAAAGTGCAGCTGATCATTTGCCACTCCCAGCTGCCAGGCGTCCGACAGCCTTGTGGGCAGCCTGTCCAAGTTCATCTGTGCCCACACAAAGCTGAACAGGCTTGGAGTGCTTATTTCCCCATGCACGGTACCCTGCTCTACTCACTGCCCTGCCGTCTCCCTTTACGTGTGATACTTGATACACAATCCTTACAGGAAGGTACTCCGAACCTGCATTTCTAATTTCTTCATGCACACGTATGCTTGCTCCCAGCCTCCCAGGGCGTGCTCCGCTTCCTGCTACCCTTTTCTCCACCCTTACATAATAGCATTGCTAGATATTGCAAATAAAATGCACAACACTGGGGCCAGCGCTGTGGCTCACTCGGTTAGTCCTCCGCCTGCGGTGCCGGCATCCCTAGAACTGGGTTCTAGTCCCAGTTGCTCTTCTTCCAGTCCAGCTCTCTGCTGTGGCCCAGGAAGGCAGTGGAGGATGGCCCAAATGCTTGGGCCCCTGCACCCACATGGGAGACCAGGAAGAGGCACCTGGCTCCTGGCTTCAGATCAGCACAGCGCCAACCGTAGCGGCCATTTGGGGAGTGAACGGAAGGAAGACCTTTCTCTCTGTCTCTCTCTCTCACTGTCTATAACTCTGTCAAATAAATAAATAAAAATTTTAAAAATGTACAACATTAATCAAATCTGAGTTTTAGAGAAATAAAGGCATGTTTTAGTGTAAGTATGCCCCATACAATAGTTCTGGGGTTTCTTTTCTATCTTTCTTTTTTTTAATATTTGTTTGTTTACTTGAAAGGCAGAATTACACAGAGGGAGAAAGATCTTCCATCTCCTTGATTCACTCCCCAAGTGGCCACAACAGCCAGGGCTGGGCCAGGCTGAAGCCAGGAGCTAGGAGCTTCTTCTAAGTCTCCCACATGGGTTGTAGGGGCCTAAGCACATGGACCATTTTTCTCTGCTTTCCCAGGCACATTATCAGGGAGCTGGATCAGAAGTGGAGCAGCCAGGACTCGAACCGGCGCCTCTACGGGATGCTGGTGTCTCAGGCGGCAGCTTAACCTGCTACACCACGATGCCGGCCCCAGTTCTTTGTTTTGCTGATATTAAAATTTAACTGGGTATCCCATATTTTGTTACATAACTATACACAGGGCCAGTGTTGTGGCATAGTGAGTTAAGCCAACACCTGTAACACCGGCATACCATATTGTGGGGAGCAATCCGGACTGGACTAAGTTACTGAAATTAAGACTTATTCTATGCATCTGCTCTCCCACAACATGGCGTTGGGAGAGAAGTAAACAGCTTCCGCACAGCTGCCTCCAGTTCAACTAATAAACTGTAGGACTTGCTCCTGATTGGAGGAGAGCAGCGTACTCGGCGTGTGGGCAGCCGAGTTGGGATTGGCGGAGGAGGACTATAAAGGAGGAGAGAGACGGCATGCACCAGGAACATCTATGGGGAACATCTAAGGGAACCCGTGCAGCCCCCGAGAAGAGCCGGCCGGCGGTGTGCCGCTCCCCTGCGGAAGTGGGGAATGCGGCCAGGGGGAACTGCCCTTCCACGGAGGTGGAAGGGATAGTAGCCAACCCGGGAAGAACCAGCAGCAAACCCGGGGAGGGCCGAGCAGACGAGAGAACAGCGCAGGGTCCTGTGTCGTTCCTCCACGAAGAGGGGGAGCGACATAATGGTGCCGTGACTCGGATATGAAGCCTAGGCAGGATTTAGTGTCGTTCCTCCACGAAGAGGGGGAGCGACACCATATGAGTCCCAGATCAAGCCGCTCCACTTCCGATCCAGCTTCCTGCTGATATGCCTGGGAAAGCAGCAGAATGTGGCCCAAGAGCTTGGGCCCCTGCACACACATGGGGGACCTGCATAGAGTTCCAAGCTCCTGGCTTCCGCATGGTCCAGCCTGGGCCATCACAGCCATGTGGGGAGCGAAGCAGCGGATGGAAGGTCTCCCTCCGTCTTCTTTCCCTCTCTGTGTAACTCTGACTTTCAAATAAATAACCTTTAAAACAAATAGACAGACATCCACAATTGGAATCCTACTGCACACACTTTGCACCTTCACATTAACATGCAGCAATGCCCTCCCACCAAGTCAAACAATGTGGCTTTTTCTGCCTGAGAGTCCCTGGTGTAGGCGTTCTTTCATTTGTTCCTGCACTCCCTGAGGGTGAGCAGCCTTTAGGAAGCACTGCACAAACCTCCCAGACCCGCCTGGCTGGGCCAGCGGGCATACAGGGGACACCATGCTTCTTCCATGTCATCACCCTCAAATCTGCGGCACCTGCCACTCAGGGCTCATGCTTGGGTACAGGGGAACAGCAATGTTCAATGATATTCCAGAAATCCTCTGGCTTGCACCACGTCAAACGTTCTTATTTCCATTTCTGTAGGAGAGATGCCAGCGGTTAGCGTCATTGAGAGGAGGACAAGTGAGAACTTCCAGGTAGACTTGGAAATGGAAAGGTATTACCGATTTGGAAGATTCCGTTTGTATCCTGGTTTCCCTGCTGCTTTGCTGTCTTGGCCTTCAGGCTTCGGGCTTTAGAAGTTTTGTACTGGGGCCACCGCTATGGATTTAGTAGGTTAAGCCTCTGCCGGTTCATGTCCTGGCTGCTCCACTTCTGATCCAGCTCTCTGCTATGGCCTGGGAAAGCAGCAGAAGATGGCCCAAGTGCTTGGGCCTCTACACTCTCGTGGAGACCTGGAAGAGGCTCCTGGCTCCTGGCTTCGGATCACTGTGGCCATCTGGGGAGTGAACCACCGGATGGAAGATTGATCTCTCTCTCTTTCTCTCTGCCTCTCAAATAAATATTTTAAAACATATTTGCACTTTACTTTTTTTTCTTTGGAACAGAGACTTTGATTTGCCCAAGGGCTTCAGATAACCAGGAGGAGAAAAGGGTCCAGTTAAGTGTCCAGGCCCAACACGCAGGACCCTGGGATAAAACCTTCCTCTCTGAAGGCTGCGGGTTCCCCTTCTTTGGTTTCCTCGTCGGTTTTCCAGGGCAAGAGAGGGCGGGTGCAGTGGGGGTCAGGATCCGCAGGATGAGGCAGGGCGGGCAGCCAGGAGAGCCGGAGGGCTAAAGAGCAGAGGGAGGGAGGGACGAGAGGCTGGGGGAGTGGTAGGCGATGGGGGAAGGGCAGAGGATGGCGCTGACGCCATTGGGCAGGGAACGCAGTTGGGCGAGCAGAGAGACGCCGGCAGGCAGCCTTTCTGCCTGGGCTCTGAGAAGTCCCCCTCGGTGCCCCAACTCCTGCCTGGGTAGAGGTGAGGCGCGCCCCGCGCTGTGCGAAGTGCAAAGGTGGGGCTTGGCTCTGTCGGGTACGGGGCACGAGAGGCCCCCAGGCTGAGTCTCCTGAGGCTGGGTCGGCACTGGGAGGAGCGGGAGGATCCCAGCCTCAAGTTCGGGGCAAAACCTGGTTCTGGCACTCAGTGGGGCCGGCGTGGAGCGCGCCCATGGTGGCCTCCCAGCCCCTAGCCGGGGCGCCTGCCTGCACTGCCCACCGGGGCCCGCGACCTGGCAACTCTAGGTTTGCGCCCCTGCGCCCGGAGGGGCAGAGCAGAGCCCCGCAGGAGGCCGCGCGTCACAAAGGAGGCCCGGTGCTCGGCATTTAGCCCGGGGGATGGCAGGGTGCAGAGCCCCCGGCGCTGGCGGAGTTGGCGTCGGAGCAGCGGCGACGCGGGCAGAACAGGCAGGCCTGCTCGCCATCCGCGCAGCCCGAGGCGGGCGCAGCTGGAGGGGCGCAGCGAGCGGGTAACGGGCGAGGGCACGCCGCGTGCGCGACGGGGCTGGCGAAGCTTGCAGCTGCAGGAGATCCCAGGGCCAGGCCGGGCCGCTGCCCCTTTTCTTGGGCGACCCAGCGCGCGCTTGGGATTCCTTCCGGGGTTGGCAGCTGGGTGTTATGGAGGGCTCTCCTGGTTCGAATCCCACCTCTGCACTTGCCCTCTCTCCTCTTCCAACAAGCCCTGCTTACTGATGTGAGCACTGAGGCACACGTTAACTTGCAAGAGGTCACACAACTGCAGCTGACCAGAGCTGGGATCCAGCCCACGAGGCTACACTGCCTCTTTGGTGATTGGGTGGCCGGGCGTTGGAGGAAGGGGATTCCAGCCTCTGGGGGCTCCTTGCATCAGCCCTTGCAGCCCACCAAGCTCAGCAACATTCTTCTGACCCCTGTCCCCTCCTCTTAAGCGTCGATGATTCTCCTGCCCCTTTGCCACGGTGAGGGCATTAGTTCCACTTTGCCACAGGGTTAGCCTTCCTGGAGTACCCGGATGCATGCCAAGTGCTTTGGGGGCCCCTGGCGCTGGGTGGTTTCCCATAAACTGTAGCAACATCCTTCGTTCCTCCTGTGGTAGACGTGTGAGTACCCATTCAAAGCAAGCCTGAGGATGCTGCCAGCCTCAGGAGCGTGTGTGGCAGGTGCCTTGGGAGAGGGAGGCAGGACAGGGCTGTGCTGTGGGCTGCACGCTGGCAAGAGAGGAGACAGAAGGGGCCCGGCTGAATGTGGAGACAGACAGTGAGCCTGGGGTCACAGGTGGAGCACACTGCTGTTAGTCCCTTCTGCCACACGTGTCCGGGTCTGCAGATGGGAGAGCCCACTGGGGGCAGGGCCAGAGCTCCCGGGCAATGAGGCCACGTGACGGTGGGGCTTGGACAAGTGGAGGAGGTCCCAGGAAGGCCCCCATGGGTGCCTGCTTGAGGATGCTCATTGCTACGGCAGCACTGGGTGGAGCAGGAAGAGGCCTGGTGGGGGTGTGGGGGGGTCACAAGACATGGAGGATGAGAGACCCCCAGGGGTCCTATTCGGCTGATAGCCACAGTGGGGAAAGAGATTCAGAGCCACGGGACTGAATGGATGAAAACATATAGGTGGTGAGCGCACATGTAAACAAAACCAGGTACCTCCACACCCGACACTCTGGAGCAGTTGCCTGTGGGAGCGGGGCGGGAGTTCAGGGAATAATGACTAAGTAAAACCAGAGCAGGGTCTTGTACGAACCAATAATGTCTGTCCTGAGCTGAGAAACAGGATGGATGTTCCCCTGAGGTCCAAGGAGAAGGGCAAACAGTAGGAGACAGAGTCAGCAAGTTCTCGTCCTTGCCTAGGCCCTGTCCTCCATGGGCAGCTCCCCCTGGGAGGCCTCCTCCCCTCCCTGGGCTTCAGGGGCCATCTGTAAGGCAGTCACGCCCGGGGCTCTTGCCAGCCCTGTGGTTTTAGGAGCCTTGATCCACGATCCTGGGCTTCCTGGGTCAAGTGGCCAGCAGCAGCTCTAGGGGATGGCAGGGCTTGAACTTGGAATTACAGGGTCTTTGGGCAAGAGAGGCAAAGACCACAGCGGGCTTTAGGGCGGGGGAAGCTTTGCCAGCACAAAGTCTGGAGAATTTCAGCAGATGCTGTGCACAGCCTGACGCTGGCTCTGCGGACCCCCCGAGCTGGGCGCGTAGTGTCCCCCGCAATCCAACAGCTGACTCGGCTTCACCTTCCCAGTCACCAAGAAATCGCCCTTCCCAATCCCTCCGCCACACCCAGGCTCCGCCTGAGACCGCAACGCGAGACTGACCTCATCCCTCCCAAACATGCGCACCTTGACCTTCTGGGGTTCCTCCCCCCGCCCTGGTACCCCTTGAATGGCAAGGCAGCCATCAGCAAAGGAGCCCACTGTGTAAGGCGGCCCACATCCCAGGAAAGGGGCAAGCCGGGCCGGAAGTCCAGATTTCGGGGAGAGGGGACGGAGGGAATCCCTGGCCTCTAGGGCATGGCCTTCAGCACGTCACTCACTCTGTGTCCACTCACAAGTTCAACTCTAGACACCAAACACTCCTAGTTCCCTGCATGAGCACATCCACACAGTCACAGTTCTGCAGGTTTGTACATGTCACACCCTCTGCTTGGAGTGCCCCAGCCACCCAGTCTGCCCCACAGCTCCTACTCATCCTTGCAAACCCAGCACAGACACCACCTCCTCTGGGCAGCCCTCTCTGCTTCCCCCTCACCCTGATCCTGTTTGTGCTCCCCGTCCTCTGTGCGAATACCTGAACCTTTCTCTCCCCGTCCTGTGACTGAGCGCTGCCCCATGTCCCTGGAGAGACTATGAGTGACGCTCCCACAAATGTGGCTGGAATGGTGCCTCTTATCTCCCAGCAACCTGTACCCGCCACAATGTCTTCTGGTTCAACTTCCGGCTGAGAGGTAACGGCTTCTCTTTTTCACTCCCGGCAGGAAACAAGTGATTGCTTTTCTTCCGCCCTTTGTGGAAGCCCTGCCCATTCCACAGCTTGCACGGGACATCCCGGGTCCCTGATGGACGAAGAGAGTGAACTGACGCAGCCGCAAGACCAGGGCTGCTGGGCCACTCTGCCCGACGTGTGCCTGCGTCGCGTCTTCTGGTGGCTGGGCGACAGGGACCGGTCCAGGGCGGCCCTTGTCTGTAGAAAGTGGAACCAGATCATGTACTCGGCTGACCTGTGGCGCTACCGGACCATCACGTTCAGCGGGAGACCTTCCAGGGTGCAAGCCTCCGAATTCGAGTCCGCTCTTTGGTACGTGAAGAAATTCGGTCGCTACCTGGAATACCTGGAGATCAAATTCCTGAATCCTTACAACACCGTCTTAACCAAGAAGTTCCAGGTCACCATGCGCGGGCTCCTGTCGTGTCTGGGCAAGAGCAACAGCCGCCTGAAGTCGCTGTCCATCCAGCACCTGGAGCTGGACCGCCTGGTCTGGAGGAACAGCATCAGGACCGCCTTCATCAAGAGCCTCAGCTTCTTCCTAAAGAAAATGGGCAGGCACCTGGATTATCTCAACCTGAAAGGCGCCAGGCTGACCGTGGAGCAGGGCTGCCACGTTCTCAATGCCCTGAGCTCCCTCCGGAACGAGAACATGGCCTCCGAGCTCAACATCGAAGACTACTTTAGCCATCACCTGGCCGTCTACAGCAACGCCCAGTTCCACAAGACCATGGCCATGTTCCACAACCTGGAGTCTCTGACCCTCAACTACAACTGTGTCTCTGACGAGCTGCTCGAGACCCTGTGCGAGCACAATGCCGGCACCCTCTGGACCATCAACATCAAGTGCCACATCCACGACCCCCACCGCCAGGTCATCTGGGGCATGTCCTGGGCCAAGCTGGCCGGGCAGGCCCCCAACCTGAAGGTGAACTTCTTCTTTGAGCGGATCATGAAGCATGAGTGCTTGGCCCGGATCCTCCTGCAGGAGATCCCAATCAGAAGCATCAGTCTGCGAAGCTGCTACTTCAGCGACCCCGACTGGTCCATGCGGCCCACTCTCACGGAGCTCCTGCCCACCTTCCGGCACACCCTGCAGGTAGGCGGGGACGGAGGGAGGTGGGGGCGTGGGAGCTGCTGCCTGCTCTTGCCTGGGCTCCCAAGAAATGGCACCAAATTAAGCATCCCCCTGCCCCCCTGAGACCACCGCAGCCGACGGAGGCCACTGCTCATTGCTGCATGGGGGACACAGGGATTTGCTGGTCGCTGGCAACCAGGGAAAGCACCTACCTCCCTGGCTCAGCGGCAGGAGGCCCGAGCAGGAGGAGCCTCTACAGGTGGGCGGCAGGCAGACAGCCCTCTTCCTGCCTTGCCACTGGGCCTCAACAGTGCACAGCAGGCCCTGTGGCTCCCTGTCACCGGCCCTAAGCTGGGGACCCATCTGGTCATAGCAAAGCCTGGTAAGTGGGGAGATGGAGTGGGGACGACCAACCTGAACTCGGGTTACTGAAGGGTTTGAGCGCAGAGATTCTGGGTGGTTCTGTAATGTGGCAGCTTTCCCGTCTATAAAGTCAGAACCATTTCTTCCTCGTAAGGACCTGGAAATGGCGTAACTGCCGCTTAGAAAAGGGATAAACACCATGACTGACACCTATCCTGCAAGGGAGGAACTCGGGAGGCGTTCACACAACCCTGAGGTAGGGAAGGGCACACGCAAGGTGACCCGGTTGTGCTACAGGAGAACCTGGGGTTTGTAGCTCCCCGTGGTCGCCAAGCCAGTCCTCGGCAGGGCTGCGGCCTGCTTCTGGGCCTCTGGGCTCCAGAGAGATTGCCTCCAAATTCCAAGGTTTTACAACCCTGGGAGATCACCAGCATCCTCAGGGAGTGGAGGATGTAAGTTCTTCCTCCAAGAACCCCCTGTGCGCTGTCCCTTATCTGCAAAGTCCCCGAATGCCAAGGCCATCAGCCCCAAAGCCAGGGCATGGAAATGGCATGGAAGGAGCCCGCCCCCAGCACCACCGCCCACACACCCCCTCCTCCTTGATGCTTCTCCAGAAATTAACTTTCGAGTTCAACAACAACCACGAGTCCCTGGACGAGGAGCTGCACCTGCTCATCCTATCCTGCAGGAAGTTGTTCTACTTCAAAATCTGGGCTTTCCTTGACGTGAGGTTTGTGGAGCGGATCCTGAAGAGCCAGGAGGAGGGGCAGTGTGCACTGCGCACGCTCAAGGTGAGGGCCCCACCCAGAGCGGGGGCATCCCGGGTGAGGGGGGGGGCTGTCAGAGGGGAGGTGGGCCGTCATCTCCCCTGGGGTCTGCCAGCTGGCAGCGTCACAGCAGCCAATCTGCAGCTCTTCTTAGTTCACTGCTCACTCTCGGCTGGAGCAGAGAAGTCGGCTGCTCAGAGCCAGGACTCCCGCAGAGGGAGCTGGGCTCCTGGCCCACCGGGAGGCTGTGCTGCCTCAGCTTTGCTTGTGTCTCCTTCTTCTTCCTCCCAGGCAGCACCGGGCCCGTCCTCAGGTGCACCGGGAAGAGTTTGGGATGTCTTAGACAAATATCCCTCATGTCACCTTTAGCGGGAAACAAAACAGGGATTCTGCATCCCTAGGCTCAGGACTCTGAGTGTCCCGGACACCTACAGACCTGCCCGCTGTCACTGTCGCCCTAACAAGTGAGGATGGCATGGCATTTGGGTTGTATCTGGTGGTGTAGATAGTCTAGAGATGAGTCTGGGTGTGGGATGGTACGCGCGGATCAAACACAAACCCTACACCAGGCTTCCTAAGAGACCTGAGTATCTGCAGATGTGGGGAATCTGTGAGGGTTCTAGAACAATCCCCTGCACATTCGGCCAACAGTCGGATTTGCAGTGCAGGATTTGCATGCCTGTGAGGCCCTAACTGACGTAGTGCCCCCTGGGTGTGGCGGGTGTGTTCTGTGGCGCAGGTGAGGATTTATACAAACAGATATGAGACAAACGAAGAGGACAGGACTCTCCGGGAAATTTACAGGAAGTACAGAAAGCTGATCGATTCAGAGCTGAACTATTTTGTCATCGCTTACCCCATGATGTAATGAGCACCCTCCAGAGGAACCAAACCAGGAGCACTTTGGACTTGAAAAGCCTTTCTCATCCAGCTGCAGTCAGGGCACCCCTCCCTGTCCCGCACCCCCTTCCTTTCCCCTCTCCACACCAAGGCGAGCTGCCCCTGCTGGTGACATCAAGGCCTCAGGGGGCTTTAAAGTGCTATCTTTACCAACCACCTGAGGCTGATTTCTCTTGTTGTCACTCGGGTTTGCTGGTTGACACCCTCCTTCAGCCACAGAGCCAAAAACACAACCCAAGGCCACTCACGGTGGCTTCTCTCCCCACTGCGGGGACCCTGCCCCCTGCAGCCCCGAGCTCCGGTCAGCCTATGGCATGGAGCATATAGAATCCTGCTGTCTCCAGACACACATGATTGGCTTGGAAGTACTTTCTAGCTGAGCTGACCTCCATGTCGTGGCCGGGACTGGTCACACACAGCCAGAGCAAGGAAGTCGCCTGCTCAGAGCCAGGACTCTCGCAGAGGGAGCTGGGCTCCTGGCCCACGGGGAGGCTGTGCTGCCTCAGCTTTGCTTGTGTCTCCTTCCTCTTCCTCCCAGGCAGCACCGGGCCCGTCCTCAGGTGCACCGGGAAGAGTTTGGGATGTCTTAGACAAATATCCCTCATGTCACCTTTAGCGGGAAACAAGCAGTACCAGAACTGGCTGCCGAGTGTGATCTGAATCCTATAAAACACACAGAGGGACTACACAGAAAAGAGAAGAAGGACACCAAAGATGGCCATGGGTGCAGGATTATGAGTGGCGCTCGCTGTCCTCATGTTTTCCATATTTCTCAGTTTTTCTACGAGGACCTTGTGTGAGTTTCGTAACTGAGGGAATGAGAGTATGTTTGAAATGAGAGGTTAACTGTGATCAGTTCCCGGGCCCCTGCCACAGACCGCACTGCTGCTGCGCCTGGGACATTGTTGTACACATCAAAAACTCTAAGGGAATAAAATCCCAGGATACTTTATTTATTTATTTATTTATTATTTATTTTTTGACAGGCAGAGTGGACAGTGAGAGAGAGAGACAGAGAGAAAGGTCTTCCTTTTTGCTGTTGGTTCACCCTCCAATGGCCGCTGTGGCCGGCGCGCTGCGGCCAGCGCACCTCGCTGATCCGATGGCAGGAGCCAGGAGCCAGGTGCTTCTCCTGATCTCCCATGGGGTGCAGGGCCCAAGCACTGGGCCATCCTCCACTGCACTCCCGGGCCACAGCAGAGAGCTGGCCTGGAAGAGGGGCAACCGGGAAAGAATCTGGTGCCCCGACCAGGACTAGAACCCGGTGTGCTGGCGCCACAAGGCGGAGGATTAGCCTATTGAGCCGCGGCGCCGGCCCAGGATACTTTCCACAGTGACTCGTGGCAGGTTCCGTTTGTGTTGCCTTTTGCATGCCGGGGCCATAATTATGCCTTTTAGCCTTTTGTCAACAATTCATCTTCCCCTGGTGCCTTCCCTCCCCACTCACTGACCTACCCGACCTCCCCCAGTTGGCTGCTTGTGGGACACGGCTTGCACTTCCCCCGGGGTCGGGAACGATCACCTTGGCAAAGGCGATCACCACTGCAGGCAGGAGAAGACAGCTCCCAGAACACGCTGCCGGCAGAGGGGCCCTTGTGAGCAGTCTGTGCAGAAAGAATGGTGTGCGCTAGGAAGGACATAATGTTGGGGCCAGCACTGTGGTGTAGGAGCTAAATGGCACTGGCATCCCGTATGGGTAGCCATTGGAGTCCCAGCTGCTCCACTTCTGATCCAGCTCCCTGCTAATGCACCTGGGAAAGCAGCGGAGGATGGCCCAAGTCCTCAGGCTCCTGCACCCACCTGGGAGACCAGGAAGAAGCTCTGGCTCCTGGCTTCGGATTGGCACAGCTCTGGCCGTTGCGGCCAACTGGGGAGTGAACCTTTGGATGGAAGACCTCTCTCTCTCTCGCTCCCTCTCCTTTCTCTGTGTAACTCTGACTTTCAAATAAATAAATAAATCTTTAAAAAAATTAGAACTGGAGTAAAAGTTTAAAATTAATAGGAGTAAAGTAAAATGAAAACCATGTGGGGTAACTATAAGGGCAGGGCGGGGCTGAGCAGAGATTCCCAAGGATCTGACCCGCCCATCTCTGCATACCTCATTCAGAATTTAAAATTTAACGACTATTCTTGGGGTCAAAGGTCTCAAAACCTTCTCAACAGAGCCAGCCGGCCAAGGATACTCCTCTGGTCCCTCAGGCCTCTGGGACTGGCCACACTCCTGGCCGTGGCTCCCAGCCCGCCTCCTGGCCACCTACGCGGGCCCCATCCCAGCCCAGACCGCCCGCTGGGAAAGCCGTCCGGAAAGATGGGAGCCCGAACCCATTCCCCAGAGCGGGGCGGGGCGCTGGAAGACCAGCGTTGCCTTTCTCGGTTGCCGAGGAAACAGGCGAACAACCAATTCCATCTGCGGGAGGGAATAAGGAGGAGGCCGTCCCTGGCCGCGCCCCCAGCCTCTGATTGGCTAAAGCGCCGGCCCTCGTGCCACGCCCCTCATGCTGGGGGAGATTTCCATGAATGAGCTGGGTGGACTCCCGCTCGCTGTCCATTTCCAAGAGTTTCGCTAGAAGCCAATTCGTTCTCTGCCTTGGTCTGCGTGGTTTTGCAGGGTCTGAGCCCTGTCCACCTCTCTCACCTCAGTTCCTGCCCTCGTCCCTCTTTCTCTAGCCTCGCTGCCCTATTCTCCGTTCACTAAATTGTCAAAAGCAGATGCTTCACCCCAGGGACCTCTGGCCTCTGGCTCATCCCAGCTCAAGCATGAGTCCACGGGCAAGGCTTTTGCCCACTGCCTCACCCCACAGGCCTGCCCGCTGTGCTGACGCTGGCTTTCCCGTCATCCCATTTCCACTTGGCACTTGTCCACCGTGGGAGGTGTTCTTGAAACTGATGTGTTCTGCAGCCCCTGGCCTGAGCTCCAGGAGGACCTGAGCTCTGCCCTACTCACCTCTAACATCAGCAGCCAGGCGCCGGCTGCAGGAGCCCAGTAAGTATATGTTGTGTGAATGAACAAGCAAACGACCACACACACACACACACACACACCCAGTGCCACAGGTCTGAGACGCCGCAGACCTGAGCAAACCTGTGCTGATCCACTGAAGACTTACATGCTGCCTCCTGTGCGGCGGCGTGGCTGGAGGCTCTGAAGTCTGCGTTAGCTTCAAGGCTTGCCAAGATCCACGAGTGAATGTCCAGTGAATGTCCACGAGTGAATGTCCACAAGGGCGGAAGATTAGAGCAGCAGTTCAGATGCCGTTCAGGACCCCTGCATCCCATATCCGAGTGCCAGGGTTCAAGCCCCACCTCTGCTTCAGAGTCCAGCCTCCTGCTAAGGCGCACCTTGTGATGGCTCAAGGACCTGGGTCCCTGCTGCACCCATGGGACTTCTACGCTGAGCTCCAGAATCTTGACTTGGGCCTGGCCCAGCCCTGGCTGTCGAAAGCACTTGGGAAGTGAACCAGCAGAGGGAAGCTTTTTCTCATGCTCGTTCCCTCTCTCTTTCCCTTGCAAATAAATTTTCAAAAAAAATGCTTTAACTACTTTGCGTCAAGGGATCCTGGTTGCAAGAGATGAATGCCCGAGATCTCAGTACTCACCAGCACCTCAGCAGCTGCCTGCCTCCCCGGGCAGGGCAGGTCAGCTCACGTTCCCACACCCTCAGTGCCTCATCTGCGATCCTGCCCATGACGGGCACGCGGAGTGTAGAGCTTTGTGGTAAGGGGCTAGGAGCACTCTGGGTCAGAGCTTCACTTCCCGAGTCTGTCCCTGCTGCTGTCAGGCCTCAGTCTTCGCATCTGTGCAATGGAGAGGTTGGATACACTTATAGGAGGAGTGGATGGGGCTGGATTCTCAGACACCTGCTTTGGCCGAATGGACCCTCCCTACAGTTTTACTTAGTGCTAATTCTGGGTAAAAGCCGTCAAAGGGGCAGGCATTTGGCACAGCAGTTAAACACACTGCTTGGCTCACCTACATCCCATATCAGAGTGCTTGGCTTCAAGTCCTACCTAGCTCAACTTCTGACTCCAGCTTCCTGCTAACGCACACCATGGAAGGCAGCAGGTGATGGCTCAACTAGCTGGGACCCTACCACCCACGCGGAAGACCAAGACTGAGTTCCCAGCTCCTAGGGACCCAAGGCCACGTCCTCCCTGTTCTAGAAAAGGACTCAGCTCTCTGCCATGCCTTGCTTTCATGTCTGTGTGCTGCTGTCTGGGACATCGCCTCCCTTTCCACCAGGCAAGCATGATTTCTCCAGCCAGACACCACTCAGGTCCCATTTAGTCCCATTCACTCGGTCCCCCTCCCAGCCAGGCAGACATGGCCTGGGAGTTACAACTCTCTGGGGTGGCAATGTGACCTACAGATGCTTGGGTGGTTCCCAGGAGGCGGGCTCTGAGCAGTCCAGCTGGGTCCACTGGCGGAGGCCGGGGAAGGCGCAGAGCCATGGTGGCGAGGCTGGGGAAGGCAGGTCATGGCTCACAGCTGTGGTCATGGAGCCCTCCTGTGAGTTCTGGGTGTCGCTCCCCCATTCGCGGAGGAACGACACTAGACCCTGCGCTGTTCTTTCGTCTGCTCAGCCCTTCCCGGGTTTGCTGCTGGTCCTTCCCGGGTTGGCTGCCGACCCCTCCACCTCCGTGGAGGGGCGGTTCCCCCTGCCACTTTCCCCACTTCCGCGGGGGAGTGGCACACCGCCGGCCGGCTCTCTCGGGGGCTGCTCAGATGTTATCCGGATGTTCCTGGTGCATGTTGTCTCTCTCCTCCTTTATAGTCCTCTTCCACCAATCCCAACTCTGCTACCCACACGCCGAGTACGCTGCTCTCCTCCAATCAGGAGCAGGATCAGCTCCTGCAGGTTATTGGTTGAACTGGAGGCAGCTGTGTAGAAGTTGTTTTCTCCTCTCCCAGCGCCATATTGTGGGAGAGCAGATGCATAGAATAAGTCTTAATTCCAGTAACTTAGTCTAGTCCGAGTTGCTCCCCACAGTGGGGTATGAGTCTCAGGGAAGAAATTACAGGGCACTGAGGAGGGGGTGAGGAGGACCCTGGTTTGGAGCCTGAAAACCTACGGTGGCCTTGGACAAGGAGCCTCCTCTCCCTACTCCCCTTCGAACCTGTGTCTCAATCGGCTTGCGCTGTGCTGACGGGTGGCTGAGACCACACAGCCACTGCTCACGGTGCTGGAGGCCGGAAGTCCAGGCTCAAGGAGCCAGCAGGTTCAGCGTCTGGCCAGGGCCCCTCTCTGGTACACAGGTGGCACTGACCCCATCCAGGAGGACTCCCAGCCTCAGGACTCATCTTGTCCCAATCTCCTCCCAAACCCCTCACCTCCTAACATCAGGCTGTGGGGATTCAACAAGTGAACTGGGGACGGGACACAAGGGTTCAGCCCACAGCACTGTCCCCTCGTCTGTGCACTGGCAGAGCTGGGCTCAAGGACCACAGAGGTGCCATCCTATCCCTTCACACATTCCCTTTCTCCAGAACCCACTAGCCAGTCTCTAAACCTTTGAGATTGTTCTGGAAGGTTCTGGAGCTTCTCAAGTGAGACACCTCAGTGAGACCGTCAGTCACCCACAACTGCCACACGCAGACCTCAAGGGCTCTCCCAGGGCCTCTGGGCAATGGTGAGGGAGTGGGGGTTCTTCCAGCTTGAGAAGCAGGTGCCCTTGGCTTTGGCTTCTTATTGACACCTGGATCTCTCTGGCAACGTGAAGCTGTCCCTTTCTTCACTTTAATTATCCCAATATACCTGAGAGGCGCCAACTCCCCCAGGAAAGAGCCTTTGTACCAGAGACCTTCCTTGACCATGGTTGGGGGCCAGCACTGCAGTGCCGTCATCCCATATGGACGCCGATTCTAGTCCCAGCTGCTCCATTTCCGATCCGGCTCTCTGCTATAGCCTGGAAAAGCAGTAGAAAGTG